GGGTTTGGATTGTTTTTATTTGGATAGGATGGAGGGTACAGTGTGTGGGTTTCGAGGATAGTTGAAATGTGTTTAAATTTTTTTATGTTGGAATTGTTGATATTTTGGAAGTGTTGAATATTGGAAAGGAGCTTGAAAATTAGTTGCATTTGAATACTGTAATGGAGGTTTGAGGAAACTGAATGTAATTTATTGTTACAATTTTTGAGTTTACGTGTTAATTGTGTTGGATACTCGGTGGTTAATTGAGAAGGTGTGGTTGACACGCAGTGAAGAAAAGTTCAATTTCAGTCATTTTAATGTTTGCTTCTCGAATGTAGTGAATTTCTAAGATTTTGCTGATTGATATGAGCCCAAACACAATGGGAATCGGACTAGTTTTACCGATTTTGTGAAAACGGACCTTTAATTTAGTTAAACGTGCAGTGAAGGAAATTTCAATTGGAGTAATTTTTACGTTAGCTTCTTGAATGTAGTGCCAATGTATTTCTGAGATTGCGCTGGTTAAAATGAGCTCAAACACGATGGGAATCGGACTAGTTTTACCGATTTGGTGGGAACGGACCTCTAATTTTGTCAAATATGCAGTGAAGGAAATTTTAATTAGAGTAATTTTAATGTTAGCTTCTCGAATGTGGTGCTAGTGAATTTCTGAGATTGTGCTGGTTAAAATGAGCCCAAACACGATAGGAATCGGATTAGTTTTTCGAATTCAATGTAATTTTCGAAATTAAAGCTCGTTTCCATGGAATAAAAGAACTAACCCGATTTATGTCGTGTTTGGACTCATTTTAACGAGGAGAATCTCAATATTCCATTGGTGCTATGATTGAGAAGGTAAGATTAAAATTATTCTAATTTAAATTTTCTTCATTGTCTGTTTACATTTCACGCTCGTCGGACTGCATCATCCCCTTTCTGCTGATTGTATTCATTTTCTGTCCCTGTATATTGGGATCAGGTTACTCCGACCTTGAGACAGTGAGTTGTTTGTGGAATTTAAGCGAGCACCACTGTATACCCTCTGAAAAAGTCAATTCAACTGCTCGGTAATTTTAGTGTTAATTTCGATAAAATCTATTATCAGCTTTACAACCGTTACACTGAATTATCAGTAAATTTATAATTATATGTATAAATTATGTTTAGGTATTAAGTTTACTTTGTCAAGGTAATAAATAATTAATGTTCGAACGGTCGTAGAGAGATTATCGTATATCTTGGCGCTTTGATGAAAAAAAACCGTAGCCGGCTATAGAAAATCCAATTATCCTTCTCTTCCAGTACCGAGTTTGTTCCGAGTGAAAACTCTGGAACCCTAATAAATCAACTGGATAATTGTTAATTGGCCTGTGTTTATTCGTCAGCATGAATCGCGTGTGTAAAACCTTCAACGGATAAATATTAATGGTTTGCATACTGAAACTTATTGAATTGTGAACGCGGCCTCTCTGTTATTAATAATTCATAACATTTGCGCGTTTAAAAGGGCATATTGCATTGTGTTAAATCTGTTCTTCGGGATTTAATCTGCCTTCCATTGACAATTATTTCTGCGTTATCTAATTGATCATATGGGATTTCTATTAATGCGCTGATTTCGACAAATAACTATGCTTCTCGTATTGATTTGTGGACACTTGTAATATACAAGGTGTCCTAAATATGTTTTGTCAAATTGTGCTACACAGAGATTCTTATAACATAAGCTGTAAGATATTGTTTATTAAGAATTATAAGGCAAATGAAATGTTAAATTGATCTTTCGTTTAATGAGATGTGAAAATAAATTGATGACTGTCGATGACTGAATGTCTCAAATAACTGATTAAAAATAAAACACTAAAATTAAACATTATCTTAGTTACCTTAAAAGTAGAAAGGACAAGTAAACTGATGACTGTTGATGACTGAATGTTTCGCGATTATTGTTACTGTATCTTTAAAGTTAACCCTTTCTACTTGACAACAATAAATTTCAAAATGAATAAAAACACTGTCATTAACAGTCATCAACAGTCATCAACAGTCATCAATTTATTTGTACTTTTTACCTTCAAGGTAATTAAGGTAAATTTTTAATTATGGTCTCTTATTTTTAACCTTCTTTTACTCGAATCAGTCAGCCAGCAACAGTTATCAATCTATTTTCACGTCTCATCAATGTAAGAAATAGGTTCTGCTCGAAGTGTCGTTGTGGTCATCCACGTCATTTAAGTTATTCATAGTGGTCTAGTAACGGCAATATTGATATGACGTTATCCCATTTGCCCCTGATAAACAGGCGGAATCTTATAATGATCATTTGGGGCAATGACGGTTGGGATTTTTGATCAGTTATTACGGGAACAAGGGATTTTACGTATAATCCCTCAGCTCATCTGGTTTAGTGATTATCGGGGGATGAGAGGGTAATTCGAGAGGGAAACAGACAGTCCTCATTATCCCCATAAAATGAATATCCCAATTATAGTGAACACCATTTACGTACGAGCTGCTTGCGAAATTTTGCTTCGTATCAGTGAACCAGTGAGCTTTGATAGTTTTCATTTGATACGAACGCGATAAAAGCTACTGTATAAAGAGGATTCTGGTATTTACGAATGAACGGTGTGATAAATAAATTTAAATGATATTTTTGGGACGTTTCGAACGCGAATTGGAAAGTAGAATTGTTCCAAGGTTCTGAAAATTAATATAAAATGGGTATAAAATAGAAAAGATGAAGATTATTTGTACTAAATGTTTATTTACATTTATGTTAGAAATGAATAGAAAATAGGAACGACGAAATTCTCTCATATATTCCTATATTGGAAAAATGGACTATTAAAGGTTTGTTTAAAATTTT